ATTAAAAAGAGTAATTAGCGCTATTTTTAATGTGATATGAAAGAAATGGGAGCTATGCATATAAAAATGAATGTTTTGGTGTGAGATGTGTAAATCCATAAGAAGTGAGCGCTATGCATGTAAATGCCACAAACAAAAGTGACCGCCAGTTCTATCTAGGACTTCTAACCACATTTGGCCAAGTTTATGTGAACTTGGCGTTTGAATAGGGAAGCATCTAGTGAAGTTCATATGAACTTCTCCAAACTGCTCCAAATTCAAATATTAAAAATTTTTAAATTCTAAAAGCAAAAGTTAAATAGATCAACTTAACCTTGGTTTACTTCGGGGCTCGATTCAAACTAGTTAAAAAAAGGGCATTTACATACATAGCACCCGATTCATATATGTTTACATATCTAACACCTAAAGTTTACATCTTACATTTATGCCACCTAACTGTTTCATATAACATCAAAAATATCACCATTTTAACTTTTAAAATGTGAAATACACCTTTTAAAAAGTGAAATACACCTTTTCATGCTTAGGTAAGAAGGCATGCATGTAAAAATTGAATTTTTGGTGTTATTTTTGTAAATACGTAGGAATTGAGTGGTATTTATATAAAGCTTCTAAGAAAATAGTGTCATAGCTGAATGTCATCATTAATAATTTTGTTCTTTAATAAAAAAACAAAGGATATAATTACCTGAAGAAGTCCCATTCTATCTTGTATAGATGTTTGTGATCTTCCCATGCGCCAGAAAACGGATCCGAATATAACTGCAGCTGCAACGGACATTCGTGTCCGGACTTTATTTGTAGGCCCATCACGAAAAGCCTAAGCAAAAAACTCATTGAATTCAGCACAAGTGGTTAAACAAAAGGAGCATTTACATGCATAACAAATAATTCCTATGCATTTGCATATCTAATACTTAAACTTTTTTTTTTACATTTATATCACCCAAATCTTTCATATCTCATCAAAAATACAACTATTTCATCTTCTAAAAGGTGAAATACATATTTTCATTCATAGTAAAGATGACATATATACAAAAATTGAAGTTCGATGTTAGATATGTAAATACACAGGAATTGAGTGGTATGTACGTAAATCTTCCTATACATAAAAGTAGTAAAGACTAAAGAGTTCTTCATAGTTATATAAATCTACGTTCAGCTCTAACAAGTTTCCATAACAGCAGCCTTAAAGTCTCCCTCCCTACCTCCAAAATCATGTTAGTCAGTTATAACAGTGTAAATAAACAAAAATGTTAATACTAAAGAAAAAGGAAGATTGCATGCATGCCACTTATATCCTATTTACATATCTAACACCAAAACTTCAATTTTACATGTAAGCCACCTTACCAAATGCATGAAAATATGTATTTCACATTTTAAAAATTAAAATAATGATATTTGTGATGTGATAGGAAAGATTTAGATAGTATAAATGTAAAAAAATAAAGAAGGTAAAATTGCGTCATAAGAAAAAATCATGAAAAAAACCTGCATACATGCGCGTTTAAGAAGATTGCATGCATGGCACTTATATCCTATTTACATATCTAACACCCAAACTTCAATTAGGTGTGCATCCCAAGAAACCTCCAATTTTTGTGTGCTAGTTGTTGCTGTGGGTACTTGCCACCTTACCAAATGCATGAATGTATTTCACATTTTAAAAATTAAAATAATGATATTTGTGATGTGATAGGAAAGATTTGGATAGTATAAATGTACAAAATAAAGAAGGTAAAATTGCGTCATGAGAAAAATTCATGAAAAAAACCTGCATCCATGCGCGTTTAAGAAGATTGCATGCATGGAACTTATATCCTATTTACATATCTAACACCCAAACTTCAATTTTTACATATAAGCCACCTTACCAAATGCATGAATGTATTTCACATTTTAAAAATTAAAATAATGATATTTGTGATGTGATAGGAAAGATTTGGATAGTATAAATGTAAAAAATAAAGAAGGTAAAATTGCGTCATGAGAAAAATTCATGAAAAAAACCTGCATCCATGCGCGTTTAAGGAGCAATCGGAACTGCTTCCACCATCCGGCTCGACGTTTAGTTAAGGATTTTCTAGCGAACTTGGTTGGAAAACTCAAATCCTTCGAAGCATTAACTGGACTTGCACATTCCATAACAAGAGAATTCTGCGAGAACTCGGCAACAAGTTTGTCAATCCTTGTTTGCGAAGAATGCACACATTCAGCAGAGCTATAATCAATAGATATCAAATCGGCAAGGAATTCGGCAGGATTCATAAGATCTGGACATTCGTACCTGAGGCAGTGGATTCTTTAACTCAATAGCAGCGATCTTAGAGAAATGCCATAAAGCAAAAAAACTATAGAAATGGGTAATTGATACCAATATCCACATGAAGGCGAAAGGATAACAAACTTTTAGAGCTTAGAAGTAGATGTTTCAATAAATGAACTGACCCAACAATCCAACCAAACCTGACTCAAAAATTCTAAAATTAGGTTGGGATTGAGCAACTCAAATAGCCTGAAATTGACTCAATTACTATTCAAATTTAGTTTACACAAGGTCGGGTCTAAGTAATTGGGTTAAACGTGGCATATTTTGGTTAACTGGGCCATGTTGATCAAAATAAAACTGCATTATCTATAAGAATTGGGTTAGACAGATCAGTTCGGGTGGAGATAGGTTTGGGTAAAGTATTTTGACTCATAAAAAAAAGGTCTAGTTCGGGTTTAGCATATTTGGGCCATGTCAACTTCAAGTTGGACCCGACCTGACAATTCAACTTGAACTAAAAACCCTACTTAGAAGCAATATTTATTGAGGCTAGTAAAGAAAATTCATTGTCAATGAACTCACATGAGCAATTTGAAGATGGCAGAGAGTGGAGGATTGTAGTAAGGGTTGTAAATGAACCGATGCATTTGTTGAATAGCTTAAACTCGGCTTGATTAATATTCTATCATGTTTCTTCAAATTAATAAATAAACAAGTTTGAACACTTAAAACTCGAAAGTTAAATGAACCAAATTTGAACATAATCCAACTAGTTTATTAATGTTCATGAACAATTTTGTTTATTGCTTAACAAATAACATATTAAATGCTCAATATTTATATTATATAATTTGATTATTTATAAATTCTTTAATTATAAATTTAATAGTAATATACTATAATTTAATACTAATAAGCATGTAAATTTAACAAAAACTACAGATGGTTCTAAAACTAGAAAAAACATAAAAATACATTAGATACTTAAATAAAAAGCCTAACATTATCAAAATATATAGTATCAGGTGGCTAGAGAGTGACCCAATTTGGTTTTGTCTTTGTCTCTAGTTCTAGAAAAGGAGCAAGCTAGTAAGCTGGTAAGATGATTGTCATTGCCAGAAGTAACCAATGTATCATCCAATATGCTCCCGAGCTGGAGTCTGCATCCATTCTTCTTATTCCTCCTGGAATAGACCTGTCATTCCTCTTCCGAAGAATCAGTCTGATGGGGTGGTAGAGCTGAAGCAGAAGTAATATCAACCATAGTACCCACAATAGGTTCTAGCATATGTGAAGTATGAGTTGCCTCTACACCGAATACTTCCTGAAGAAGTGGAGCTGCGAGGCTCTCCTGATTATCAGTCTGAACACTTTCATTTGTAGGTAATAGTCCATCATTAAATAAAAATTAGGATACATATAGATTTTGTGGGAGGGTCCAAACATGACACTCTGCCCACACGATAACCACCACATCAAATAGTTCCAAAAAGAGAAAATACAGAAAAATACATGAGAGACCTAAAGAAAAAACCAAAAAGCGTCAAATACAGGATATCAGGTAGCTAGAGAGCGACCCAATTTTGCCTTGTCTCTGTCTCTATTTCCTTGGAAAGAGCCAGCTAATAAATTTGTAAGATGAGTGTCATTGTCAGTAGTAACCAATGTATCATCCAATAAATTTTCGAGCTTGAGTCGGTCTCGATTCTTCTTCTTCTTCCTGGAATAGACCCGTCATTCCTCATCCGAAGAATCAGTCTGATGGGGTGGTAGAGCTAAAGCAGAAAGAATACTAACCGTAGTACCCACAATAGGTTCTAATATATGTGAAGTATGAGTTGCCTCTACACCGAATACTTTCTGAAGAATTAGAGCTACGAGGTTCTCCTGATTATCAGTATGAATACTATCATTTGTAGGTAATAGTCCATCAGTATTGTTTCCTATGGGGTTTGAAGGTGTCAGCATAACATCACTCGCAGTAACAGTAACAGTAACAGCAATGTCATGGGGGCTCCTCAGGGGCAACAGACACCTCTTGTCTGGTAGTATCCTCTCTAGGTGGAACTAAAATGTCTAGAGCAGTGGGGTTAGACCCATCCTTATTCACCATCCTTATTCACTTGAACCTTAGACTTCAAATTTGGATGAAACTTGTGGCATTTATCAAGAATATGACCAAACATCTTATAGTGGGTACAATATGGGGGCTTGTGCTCCATGACGATTTGTTGTCAATAACCATTATGGGTTGTGCCTAGTCAAACTTCAGTAACATCAGGTAAAGTAATATCTCTTTCCACAAGTATTCTGACCACTGAGGGTATGATTAGGTAGATCTAGCTTCAAAGGATCCCCAAGGATGACCCCAGAACCTGATGATGAAAAAAATGCAGCTTGAGACCAAGTAAACTAAACCATACCGATACAGTGAGAGTCTCATGATTTGGGTTGAAATCAGGAGACCACTTGAGCAGCTTCATGGGTTTACCGGCAATGGAAAATCCGAGTGTAGTCCTCAGGCACGGTTAACTGAATCAATACATGTTTCACATCCATGAGCCCCACTTTCCACTTTCCTGTTAATTTGAGGTCATCAAAACTTTTCCAATAAGAGCAAATTTTAATTTGTCAGTCAGTGTTGAAATTTCTGATGTGAAGAAAAAGAGTGTTGTCTTCCCATTTTTTCTGCTTGCATTTTTAATAAAGGGACTGTTGGCATCAATTTTTTGATGTCACAAGTGCCCACAAATTCTATACGTCGCGCCGTGCACGAAATTAGCTCGAATTGACTCGATCAACAGCGAGCTCGTTCAAATAGCCCCGGATGACGAAATAGACAGCGCCAATGCGTCCGGAACGTCAAATTTAGTCAAAAACGATGCCCATTTCGCTGCGAGGACATATTCGGGCGAAAATGCACAAAGAGAGGTTGATTGAATAATAATAATTATTATTATATTATATTAGTATATTATAATAATATTATATATATATATATATAGACAGCTGTAACTCTCTAAAAGATTCTCAATTTTCATTTCCCTCTCTTCTCTCCTCCCTCTCTCCTCTCTCCTCTCTCCTCTATTCTCTCTCTCCCAAAAAAAAACGGTTAAAAAAAAAGAAAAGGAAAAAGGCAGAGAAGCAACGCCTCTCTTCCCCGAAGATCGCGTCTCTCTCGCTCTTCAAAGCTCCGATTCGCAACAAAAAAAAGAAAGGGCGGGCTCCTCCATCTTCTCAACCCCCGCGCCTCTCTTCCCCATTGGCAAAAAAGACTTCCTCTCTCGCCATCTTCCCGCTCCTCTCCTCCGGCGCCGGTCACCGACCCTTCTTCTTCTTCTTCTTCTTCTTCCATTTTTTTTTTGTTTTTCTCCTATTTCTTCTTCTTCTTCTTCTTCTTCTTCTTCTTCTTCTTCCTCTTCTTCTTCTTCCTCTTCTTCTTCCATTTCTTCTTCTTCTCCTATTTCTTCTTCTTCTATTTCTTCCTATCCTATTTCATTTTCTTCTTCTTCTATTTATTT